GAAAACCAAATTAATATTGGTTTGGTTGACCTAGTTTTTAGTCTATAGTTTATTTGCAAAATTATAATATTGTGGTCTTGTACTAATTGTGTGTGATGTATATAGTTAATCTCATTATTAATCAATACCGTCGTCAAATCCTTCATTTAATATGAACATCGATATATGATTGGTAGTGAAGCTAAAGAATACCACTCAAATGTTGTCAAGGCGAGTGATACGTACTAGATTTAGGGTCTATTTATGTAGGAAGTATTTTTACTCGGTGTTAAATTTGTAAGGCAAAAAGTCACTTTTTGTCCTTATAATTTAATGAAATTTTCACTTTCGTCCTTGTGATTTTAACTTTGGCAATTTGACCCATGTAGTTTGATTTTATTGCAATTTAAGGACATGTCTAAATTTTCATAAAATTTCTTGACATAATAAACATGTGTCTCTTACATGGATGGGTATTTTGTATGGAAATTTGGATGTGCCCTTGAATTGATATCAAATCAAAGTATAGGGGTTAAATTGACAAAATTTAAAACTACATGGACTAAAGTGAAAAATCAGGCAAACTATAAAAACCAAAAGTGACTTTTTTCCAATTTGTAAAGAAATGGGTTTAAAAAAATACATATTCCCCCACAAACACATCCTAAAACTTGACCGAAATCGATTTTATTAGTTCACACACATCTACTCTTGTTTTCAAGTGGAGAAGTTATGAGGATGTAAAGAACTATCGCACTTTAGAAAGTTAAGAAACATTGTAAGCATAAGAGTTTGGGCACTTCCCCAATTACCAATTAGTTTTGGGGTTGACATCTCAACATCTTTTATGGTATCAAAGCCAAGTTTACTCACGTTTAAAGTCTAACAGTCATGCGTGCTCCAGGTCACTAAGTTAAATTGTTCACAGGTTAGACTTGAAATTTTGCTATATATACATAAAGGGTCGTGTAAGGATGTGATAACTTGTCCCACATTATAAAGTTAAGAAATTTTATAAGAGCTTATAAGGATGTCAGTCCCTTATTATCAATTTTTTTTTATTTAAAAAAATTCAATCAATAGTCTTTTCTAAGGGGAGGGGGCACCCACAAGGGGATTCAAACTAATGCCATGGGATTTGCAAACAAAGACCTCAACCACTAAAGTAAACAACCACTCGCTTCATTATCAATTGGTTTTAGAGTTGAAATCAAAGACTCAAAGAAGTATGCTTTTTGGTCATTATTACTAATTTCAAAGATTTGGGTACCAATTTTTTTTTTTACAATGGGGCCGTTGTATGTTCCCTTACTTAAGCAAGCACCTACAAGTGTTGTTTAATTAAATTAATGGCAAATGGTTTTGTGGGTTACTACCAGAATGCGACCCAGTCCCTACATATATATATTATGCACTAAAAAAGTTTAACATGCTCAAAAAAGTTGCATTGCTTTTAGGGATTTCTAAAAGGTAAGTTGGGTGCTCTATAGCCTTGATTGGATGGTCGAGGTCATTGTCGAATAGAATTTAAGTCAACCATTTTGCAACGACGACTTTGATTTTTACTAATATTTAAAAGTAAATATTTAACATGGTTATTCTCACATTGCAAAAAATTATCTAAATACATCAATAATTGATAATTATTCATACACGTATGCATGACTGTTTAAAACAAAATTCGTAATTAAAATTATACAATAATAAACACTCGCGCATAAAGAATTGTCTAAAACAAAACTCGTAATCGAAACCAGATTTTAGTTGCATCTAGATCTACAAAGAAGAGTCTTGATTTTTAAGACGAACGGTACTTCGATTAAACATTAAAATGATCACAATGATAATAAAATGACTATATGATTTTCAACTTGATTAAACTTTTCATGAATAATCCTGAAATTGGACATTTTTGGTACTAGTCTAAAAGAGAAAGTACATGTAGCATTCCTCTTTGATCAAAGGGTAGTCTCTTAAATATATGCGGCGCACAAAAGTGACAAGTCATATACTCATATATTCAATTGCGTTGTCTTGTATTATCTGAAAATAATGAGATGGCGACACTTTAAACTTTGTCTATTTGTTCTAGCTCTCTATACCGAATAGGTCTTTGCTCTACTTGTGGTATGTAAAACTATCACAATTACTATTTTCACCTTTTTCAACTACCAATTATATTTCAAAATTTAGAAACAAAAATTAAAATAATTATCATATTTTCACATAGTTATGTATTTACTCAACAGATAATTCATCTTCACTTTCAACTAATTGTGTCCTTTTCTTTGGGATGTGTATTGTAATTATTCATCTTCCTAGCTTTTCATGTGTAAACTAACACATGGTATTGATTTTAAAAAGAAAAAACTAACACATGGTATTGGAATGATTCAAATTGTTAATTGTTTGTAGATTACGAACACGAATAGAATAAAAAAGTATATATGCTGCTTTATACGATGCTACCCATCCGATGTAAATGACTTAATATTTTGTAGTGAGCTCATCACAATATGTAATTCAATACCTGAAAATTCAAGAATTAGAGGTTGATTAAGGGAATAGTTGATCCAATTCCAATTCATTCGCCCTGATTGGAAAAAAGCCTTCGGTATAGAAGTATTTACTATTTACCACGAATATTAAGTTATTAAATATTCTAAAAGGCATTTTCAACTAATACTAAACTTGATATGATATGAGAAAAGCAATGGAAGTTTCAGAAACTCATAAGGACACCTGTAGTATTAAGTACAAGCAAAGACTTTTGAACCATCAAAATCTTACCGACTGACCCGTACCATTGACAAAGGTGCAATAGGCATTAAAATGCAGGTTAAGTCCGCATAGAAAATGGGTCAAACGCGTACTGAGTTTGGTGGCCAAAACACACACCACAAACAGAAGGTTCAATTCAAGCTCAAGCCAAAGCCCCAAGGTTCAAGTCAAAGTCCCTTGTCTTTGCTTTTACTTTTAATTTAAAATCTTGAATGGACGTTCAAGAAAAGGAAATAAAGCAAATGATTCAAATGTGTATGGGCTCACTTTTAATTTGAAGTTTAAGAATAAGGATTTCTAGGTCTAAACGATACAACTCTTTTTTCTATTGGAAAATTATAATTTTAGGAGACGATTCGAGCTTTAAATATATACAAATTTTGAATTACGTTACAAATAGCGTCATCCTTCCACTGAAATAAAGTGAGATTTGAACTTGAAATATTCTTTTACAAAATAAAGACAAAGGTCACTAAATCGAATGATCTTAACAGACACTCGACCTTTGTAATGTATATAACAATTCAATTTTAAAATTTCAGATAAAGGTAGTTTAGGCAAAACACTAACATTCACCAGAATATGTATCTTTCATTTCAAATTTGTTCAGTCTTGAACCAAAAAAAGAAAGTGGAGTAAAGGGATACATTCCCCCTCCAAACTAAACTCCTTCCCTCTCATTCAAAATTCCCAATCAGAAGATAAGTGGCATCTCACCTTTAATTTCCTTTTTCTTTTTTCTTTTCTTCACCACCAAACCCCTTTCTCAATATGGCTCATTAGTTCTATAATTAGATAAGAAAAGAATGAATGAGAAAATAAAAACATTATTTTCAGGACATGCTATTTTCATAGGTTTGTGTTGTACCATATGACACTGATAGGAGTATAAAGAGAAGAATTTTTGGTAACTCTTGTTTTTATGAACCAAATTGCTTTCTTTTTTTGTTATTATCTAAGAAGGGGAAGTGGAGAGTATCATATTGGATTGCCTCAAGATTGTCTCTTATCTGTAACGTGAATAAAACCTAGGTGCACTTGGGTGAAAATGGAAGAGTTTGACCCACTTTTTCCACAGTGTGTCACCCCATGTGCGAACCAAATTCCCAAATTAGTTTCTTCCATTTTCTTTTGCTTTCCATGAAAAATGAAAAATAACTAGAAACAAGAAGGAAAAAAACACAGAATTCCACACCGCGCCGTTTGTTTTTGTTCACTATTCTATGATACAATAATATTCTCCAGATTTTAATCCAATAATGATAGGACTGGTTTAGATCCCATAATATTGGATGAATACTTTTTTTTTTTTTTTTTGGTCTGAACCACGAGGTGGTCCTGGATGGGCTCCAACTATGGATGGCACCTTTAAGCCTTAACCACAACCCAGACTAATCCCCGTTCACACCGGGTCGGCCCGTAAGGAGTAAAGTGCTGGCCAAAGTGGTGATGAATACTTTTTCGATTGGAAGAAATAAATTTTTATTCCAATAATAACTGTAAATACCAAATAAAATATAAATAGTGATGGAACCCAATATCAATTTAAATATTGTTTAGCAATAAAAAAACAAATGGATATTGAAATCCTTCCAAAAAGCCCATATGCTTTGGCTTTGCCCCCACAAGGCAGGAGATTTAATTTGCTCCATCCAATTCCCGAGCTTGGTTATGCTCAACCACGCGCCTATAATTAGTGGTGCATTAACATCTCCTCCAAGGTGGTAAATCTTAAACCCAACCCATAATTACAAGCAAAATCCCAACTACAAGATAGGATAATACATGTCAAAGACTCAAAACCAGATTTTCCCTCACCTAATGATTGAAGATTAAAAACAGTGTTTGCTCTGTACATTAGAAAGTCAATTAGAAGATATCCAAAAATTAAAAATTCAAATTTACCACCGTGTATTAATGATTGCTAACTATGGATGTATGTAAAATTCACGCTCAGCGTTGACTGGCAATTAGTCAATTAATTACCTGATAAGCGAAGAAATCATGATTTTGGTAATTGTGATTAGGAGAGGTGTTGTCTTACATGTATGGCCAACCTGCCAAATTAATTTGGTAATTGGATAAACAACAAGCTGTTACATGTATCATCCATGAACATCTTCTTCTCTCAAGGCTTTGAGCCAAGTAAATGAATTATGACCCTAAACCCAATCCAACCTAGCACATGTTTTTCTTTTACTTCAACTCTGACTCTCTCTCTCTCTCTCTCTCTCTCTCTCAAACTTTCTCTCTCTAAATTTAATAAAGATACCAAATAGCATACCCCATTGCACACCTCACACGAGCACACACCCACACACCCACGCACAAATACCCACATAAAAACTCCCACCCACTCTCCCTTTCCTTCTCAAATACAAAACCAAAGCCAAGAAGAAGACAGAGCTCCCCCTTTTGGCCAGTGAAGAAGCCCTTTGGGTTCCTCATCATTTCCCATAGAGATTCAGGAGAAGATCTCTTTCAATTTTCATACCCGGAAAAAGAAACACCCTATTTCCTCAAAAATGCCCACAAAGCCTTAAATTTCTCCTCATACCCACTTGCACAAGCATTTCACGTTCAAATTGAATTGTGGGTTCGGATAGTAAATGTTTTAGATGAGGTGCAAGAAGCACCTTTGCGACCTCACCAGCGCCGTCGGTGTCTGCTCCTCTTGCCTCCGGGAACGCCTCACCGCCCTCATCGAGGCCCAAACCAAGGCCCAGGCCCAGGCCCAGCTTTCTCGGCTCCACTCCCGGACCTCCGCGCCGCCCGATGAACCGAAGCGCAAGTCAGACCCGAATCCTCCGCCTCTCATCTTCCCTCGCTCCGTCTCCCCCTACGTTTCTCGAAGAAAATCGGACGACTCCACGTGGCACCACAACCACCGTCTAGATCATCAAAACCAGCAACAACAGCACCGTATTCGATTCTACAGTACGCCCCAGGTGGGCCCCACCTACAACAGCGCCACCAGCACCACCATTGAAGGGTCGTGCAGGAAGACCAAGACCAAGTTCTCGCTCTTATCGAGCCTTTTCCGGTCCAGATCCGATAAGTTTTGGTCGGATCCTAGTTCTTCGACGCTTCAGCCCACGTCGTCCTCCTCGGCTTCGTCGCCGTCGTGGTTCTCGGCGATCTTCTCCGGAAAACGACGGAATCGATCGAAGCAGCTCTACGCCGACGAGTCCAACAACACCGGCGGGCAGAGACCTCGCGGGTTGTCGCCTGATATAACGCCCGATCCCTTCGAGGACTGCGAGCGATCGCGATCAGGCAGCGGGGACTCGTCGGGGGCGACCCCGGAGTGGAAGCGGACGCCGACGCTGGCTCCATCGTCGACTCGGAGGACACGTGTTGGCCAGGGGAAGAACAACGTCTCGGGTCTGGCGTTTTGCCTGAGCCCCCTAGTTCGGGCCAGCCCGAACCGGAACTGGGGCCAGAAGGGGTTGCCGCCGGAGTTCGCCGGCGAGATTCGGGTAGCGGCGGCGTTTTGCAAGAACCGGTCGAGGAAGCTGGTGGATTTCGGTAGAGCCAATCCTAACCGTTGATCGTACTGACCATTGTTGTGCTGTTGACAACCACACTGTTGTTTATCGCGTTTGTCTGTCGAAAGTACGATTTTGCCCCCTTCATCTTTTTTTTCTTTTTCTTTTTCAAATTTTCTTTTTTAAAACATATGGATGGTAATTTAAAAGGGAATGTTGGCTGTGTCTCTGTACACTAAAAATGTTATTGCTTGTTGGTTACCCACAAGATAGATTCTTTTTGTTGTATAATTTGGAACCTTATATAATTTTAAATACAGTGAGTAATTTTTTAAATTACGCAATTGCCCTCCTATCTCTCTCTCTCTCTCTCTCTCTCCTTTTTGAGTTTGGGTCTGAAAGTGGGAAACGCCACCGCATTGTGGGAACCATGGGGGCTCATGCGGCTGCTCCGCACTGGAAAAGCACAAGCTGACCCAATGGGGTGGGGCCAGGTGGTTCAAATTTTTGATCAGTGGCTGGTGTGGGTACACGCGCCCACTTAGACTAAGGTGGCATCGTGACAATTGAGAATCAGTGTGCTGGTGGGGCCCACAAAACGCTGCGTTGTGTTGTGTCATATTGATATTGTTGCGTGCGTGTGTTAAATTTTTTAATAAATAAATTTGGTGAGTCTGATGGATCGGATTCAGATTTTCGGATGCTTAGGAAGGTAATAGGGTGGGGCCCTACGTGGGTTTTACATCGGTGGGACCCAATGGAACGGGCCTCGCCTGACCAAATCTGCAGCTGCTTTGTTAACGGTCATGGCTCATGGGAAGAAAACATCAAGGGTTGGTTGGGGGATCTTAAATCTTCAATATTGTCCCAATTCCCAAATTTTCATATACTTACTATAAGTTTACACGTAGGTTTGTAGTCACAATCTGTAGTTTTCTTTTTATTTTTGGTTACTATTCAATACATCGTTCGTATAATGTTGTATTATCAAACAATTTCACCTGTTATGTTATCGATGTAAATTACAGACGAGTCATTCGAACAATAGTCGTGTAACCTAATCATCCTTCAATTTATTCAACCTAATATTTTTTTTAAAAAAGTTGGAGGAATATAAGGTGAGAAAATAAAAATGAAAATCACAAGGTTCTTTTTTTTAATTTTAAAAATTGTGAATAAAAAGCTTTGTTTAGAGTTGGTGTGGTTTCCTAGAGAGGTAGATTCAGTACGGTCAATGTCCTTTTGGCTTTTAAAAAAAATGAAGTTTTGTTGGTGGTGGTACTTTTCAGTCGGCCTTTCCTTTTCATCGGGTGGCTTAATTATTTGATTAGAAGTTTTTGTTTTGGACCAGTTTGTTTTTGATTTGAAGTCGAAGCACGAACTGCTTCATGATGTTCCTTTGATTTTTTCTTTTGTGACAAGTTAAAATCATGGGGATCTTTTTGCTTTTGTTTTCTTTATTTGAAATTGATTTTCTTCTTTACTCAAACTGAGCAAATCATTGCAAACCTAAAAACTATGAGAAATCTCACGACTCATGAAGAAACCTTATGTCACTCTGACGAAAGAATGATCGCAATATTTCATAAAGGATTGTAACAAGCTTTGATACTTTACAATAAGATGTCGTTTCTTCTAAAAACAATTATTCTTTGATAATAAAAAACTAATATCTTCAATATTGTACTCGAATGCTTATTTGTCACAGTAGTTCTTAGTTTACCGGTATTTCTCTTTTTAATATTGAAAAAACTTTATAATATCAATTATAATCAATTGATAATTAGTTTCGAACCTTCTTCAGTCTGCAACCCAACTCGTCTATTAATTTTTTATTTTTTTAGTCAAACGTGATTGAATTTTATGGATGATAAGAAGAACAAGTATAAAAACTGGACTATGTCCTAGAGGATTAGGCGAGCATCTCTGCACATAAGGGTATGACATTCAAACTAACTCAGCAGCCTACTCTCTCAAACCATGATAACGACGCCTTGATATATAGTGCAAAACGGGCACCCGACCATTAAATTAAAGTTTAGCATTTTTGTCAAGAAATATGAGATGACCAAACGTTTTTCTGAGTTCCAATAAGAAAAGATCAAGAATGTTATAATTGTAGGCCAAATTTAATGTGGTAGACTGACTCTCACATTCCATGTGCCACTGATTTATTGCCAAGGGCACAAATATTTTCACCCACATTGCTACCGAATAATTAAAGACATATCCAACTTCCCACTTTACTTATAAATCTGTCCCCTGTGAATCTTGAAGCAATCCCATTTGAATTATAAATCTGTTTTTTTCGCATCCAAAGGCGATAGAAATTATAAATCCTGTTGATTATGTTTTCAAAGATATAATTGGATTTAAAAAGTCTCATGAAGCATGAAATTATGGATTAAACATGTGTGATGTGAGTTGGTGAAACAATAATTTGTGTGGCATTTGGGTCAAGATGATTTAATTGCTTTTAACTGTACTATAAATTATTGACCTGAATAATTCAGACCTATCAACCATAAACTTACTTCATTAATACTTCAATTCTTTTCTCTTGTCAGAAATTTAGGTTGTTTTAATTGTCCTTAATTCACATTCAATTCACTGAAATTATTCAATACTGAATACTAATCTCAAAAAAGTGTCCAACTTTCAAGTGGTGAGGGTTGATGGAAAAATGATCGTATCCTTGATTTATCATAATCTTTCTTAATTACATTTAAAAATGGTCGAACCTTTGATCTATCATAATCATTACACATTTTTCTCATCCTCACTTTACTTAATCTCAAGGATTTTCTTAAGACCGTATTCTTTGGTTACATTGTAAAAGATCTAACCCTTGACATATCCTAGTGTTAACTCATTTTTCCACTCTCCCTCGCTACTTAAACTTAATTCGAAGAGCCTGCGCTGGTCTAAAATACATCTCTTTTGTTTCATGATCACTTGATGAGCCTAACCAGAAGATGAATTTAAGAATTCTTCTTCTTAATATATATTTTTTATATTCTCGAAGGTCAACACTAATACAATGGGAGCCTACCTATTTATGGCACACCCACCATTGACGTAGCACTTGATGAAAGTAAAATTTTCTTTGTTTACAGAAAATAAAAGGAAATTTCAGTTCATTAATGGATCTGACCATCCATGGACTGACCATAAATATTGGTCAGTCAGAAACTTGGGGCTGGAGAATGTTAGAAGAATTACAATTCTCGCATATACAGTGAAGGAAAAGAGATGGCTATAGAAGAATTTTTCGAAAGCTAACATTGTTACAGCAACCATAAGCATGCACGTATATGAATATGAGACTTGGTGTTTTATTCTGACCCCATTTAACATTTATGATTTATTCCATGTGTCATCCTTGCTCTCCACTTTCAACTTTAGGACCCAGAGATTGATGGCTTTTCTTTACAAGATTGGCGAGCAAATTAATTAGGGGACACAAGTTAGGTGAGCTTGGTCTCAAATGGAAGACAGACAGAGAGGGAAAAAGTGAGGAAATGCAAGAGAAGAGACATGGGTGGTGTATTTTTGTTGAAGAATTTAAAGTCTTTTATTGGAAATTTGACAAAAATGATACAATATATAACGAGTGGTTCCACTACTAATCGTACCGAGATTTTTTTAATAAAAAAACTCAACTACTTCTCGGCTAATGAAGGTCTTATTAGTTTGAAACGTGCATAAACTTGTTTATATACTCCAAAAATATCATTTTCTAAACTCTACCAACATGAAATCAAACGGTCTCCGTCGCTCTCCTTGGAGACATATGTATAGTCAACTACTAACATGCTATAAATTATGCGCAATGCATATGCATTATACCTTGACCTATAAATAATGACCTATTTCTAGGCCAGGCCCAGCAGAGACAATCATACTGGGGAGAGAGAGAGAGAGAGAGAGAGAGAGAGAGAGAGATGCATCCTACAGTTGCCAACTTGCCAATAGATTGTAACATCTCATTCAGCAATTAATTTATGTAGTTGCTATCAGTGACGGACTCAAGATTTTGAAGATGTGAGGTGAACGTAAGCGATAACTGATGATTTAAAAAAGTAATTCATCTGCAAGAGAGAAGCCATCATATATTTATTTGCAAAATATTTATCAGAAATCTATTGGATTTTGATATTTTGACTTGCGAAGATATTTTGCTTGTGAAATTGAATGAGAAGAAGTCAGTGAATTGCCTGTGTGAATTTCTTCACCTTTCCTAAACTCAGAAGGGCACAAAGAAGAGGGAGAGAAAAAGGGGATGATGGGAGAAGATGGATGGGATGAAGGAAGACAAATTGAATGTGTATCTCTAATTTTTATTTATTTACTAGCATGTTTACTTACAAGTACTAGGTATAGGAAATGTTCCAATTCTTCACTTCACCTATGTTTACTAACACATAAAGTCGGATAGTTGCTTGACCTATTTTGTAAAATCTCTCTCTCTCTCTCTCTCTCTCTCTCTCTCTCTGTGTGAATTGGTTTTTATTCTTCTTATAGGAATTGAAAATGAGTTGTATGGTATAAGTTTTGGTTATTTGTTGATAATATATTAAAATTTATGGGTGAGCTTGTGCTATTATTTTTGTGTTGTATTGCAATTACTTCTTGTTGTTGTTGTTGTTGTTTTTTTTTTAAAGTTTTTATTTATGTATAAAGATGCATTTGAGGGTAATGCTCATTACTTTTATTGACTAAGTGTATTTTTCTATGTTTATTAATGAAATTCACTAGTACATTCGAGTTTTTAATGTAAGTTTCAACTGGTCGGCTTTCGAATCCTGGATCCACCACAACATGTGGGTCACACCTTAAAATCTGTAATCACATACCTTTAAAATCATGAATTAAATTAACTTGTGAGGTGGGGGGATTACAATTTTAGAATTTCCATTCATGTGCTAAATTCTTTATTTTCCCATTGCTAAATTCTTTGATTCATTACTTCACCCAATTCATGATAAGTAAAAATGCCATACATGGGTTAGAGAGAAAGGGAATGAGGATGGCTAAGAAGAAGCACAAAGAAGATGGTTGGGATGAAGGAAGACAAATTGAACGTTTATTCCTAAATTTTATTTATTTATTGGGCTAGAATAATGAAAAGAGTTTAGATAAATTAAGAAGCATAAGTCAGGATTTAAATTACTAATTATATGTATCATTGGATTAATTCAAAGACCTTTATTAGAGCACTTCCACCCGTGTAGGCCAGTATGGGCAGAAGGCCTCCACAGCCCCAAAAACTAACTCCAGCAGTGAAGGCCAACCCGGGCAAGGAGTGGGCTCTATCTAAGGGCAAGACTTGCTTGGGCTGCTGTCTGGGTTTGCTGATGTTAGCATGACATCAAAGACCAATTTAAATACCCAAAAAATACAAAAAAATTCAAAATAAAAATAAAAATTTCTTCCACCTATGCATGTTCTTCACTTCCTACACCAAAACTCCATAAAAATTCCTCTCCTCATATCTCATGTGAATAGTATTTGTCTTTACTTGGCATGTCAATGGATGGAAAAGCAAAATAAGAAAGGGTAAGGAAATCACTATTCACATAAATAATGTCTACCCTTACTTGGCCTTATCGTTTGCCATGACACCATAGGTGGAAGTGCTCTTAGAGAGATCCTCATAAGTCCTCCTTTAGGTGAGTTAGACTGATATGCAGATTATTTGGAAAGACATAATAACATTTTATTGAAGTGAAAAATCGGAACTCATATAAATGAATTTCAAATAAGAGTGTTGCTATTTCCACCCCATATTCTTTTTTTTTTTTTTATCCATCTTATTTTTTAAAATTTAAAGACAAATTTTCCCATATATAGTAGAATCAAACTCCCAGATTTTCATGAACATGGTGATTGGAATAAAAAATTGAAAATCGTAGTGGGTGCGTGTGTAGAGTAGATTTTTGGGATAATTTATTTTGGTTGGAGTGTGAGAGACAGGGAGAGACACAGAGACAAAGAGAGATGGCCATGGCATGTGGATGATGACGGATGGGAGGGGGTGGTGGTGGGTGAGAAGGGTTCATCTTAGTTATTTTAAATTATTTTTTGTATTTTAAAAATTACTAATGATTAAAAAAGAGAATTTGCTTGAATAAATAATTAAGATGTATTTTAAGAATAATAGTGGTTGAAATATTTTTTTTTATTTTTTTATATGGTGGTGGAAAGATAGATGTGTGGAAATAGCAGCACTCTTAAATAATCGGGGGCAAAACTTTGTATTGTTGTTGGTATTCTTTATTGGCGGCCTTGGTTACTGTGGACTGATCTGGGTCCAATTTTCTTGCACGAACCAGTTAACAAGACGTCAAAACCAGCTTATCTTATTCATCCACAAATTGTGTATTTTAAAACTTGGATATATATTTTTTTTAATCAATATAATTGTTTATGTTTTGTTAACGTTGGACACAAAACATTCATGCCCTAGAAATTGAAAACCTAGTGGTAATCTATTAACTAGACATTATTTCACAATCAAATATTATTGCATTGAATATTCACACCAAGGGGATGAGTTGACCATGGACTAAGCAGACTTTCGATCTTACGTACAACAACAGCAAAAAAAAAAAAAAAATCAAAATCAAAATAGAAAAGCATATAGTAAAATGATAAAGTCAATGTTAATAGACAATAGAGATATAATATGTGCATATGTCAATGGATTAAATTTTGATTTAAATTCGATATAACTAATTTGGGATGGATTGAGATTCTTAATCCTATTATGACCAAAATTCGATAATTCATTAGCTTAATAAATCAAATATGGATTATAGCTGAACCAATCAAATTTAATTTAATATTTTTATGTGCTTTTAAGAATATTATATATGTGTGAGTGCATTGAGAATGCACTTAAACTATTTAATTATAGAAAAAGAACACAATAAAAGAAATTCGATACTAAAGAGATTTTAATTATTTCGAAGTCTTAAAATGAATCCGATAATAATTCGATATGAATTTGATGCTTATCAAATATGGATCAATAAGTTCAATCCAATAATCCAAATATGATCGGATTTGGGTTGATGCCATTTTTGTGTGAATTTGATCCATTTATAGGCCTACAAGTACACAACTAACAATCATTATTATCTAAGAGATTTACACATAGGTTAACTTCCACCTTAGAGCACTTCTAGCGGATCAGTTTTGTCAGGGCAAAATGGAGCCCAGATTGGGTTTAAGAGCATCCACAATGATGTTCTCTATTTCTTAGCTAAAATTTGGCTAAGAATATAATAAAGCTATTTTAGGAGCTCTCTAAAAAATTTCAACTCCAACCACACTCCCTAATTTGGAGAGTCATAAATGCTATAACTCTTTTTTTATTGGTCCATCTCTATTAAAAAATTAAAAAAAAATAGTTAGAATTAAATAAAGGTTTGAAATACTCATTAAATAAAGCAGCATTAAATTATAGGGAGCCACTAGGAGTCCTTTCTCTCTCCTCAGATTTAGGAACTCCTAGAGGACTCCCTATTTTAGGAGGTAGATAGGGAGCGTGGTTGGAGTTGCATTTTTATAATTTCTCCCTAAAATTTGTATAAGGAGGTGGTTTAGGGAGCCTATTGCGGATGCTCTAAGCTTCCGAAAATTGAAAGGCAGTTCGGGCAAAAGTGGCCCCCATTTATCCAGGCAAGTCCAAAGGCAAGAATTGCCTGAGCTGTTGCTTAGATTTGCTGATGTCATGCTGACATCAGCGTAATGTTAGCAACCAATTTAAATACAAATATATATATATATAATACCAAAAAATTCAAAATTTTTTATTTTTATTTTTATAAATACCTGGCCATGTACTCACTTCCCACACCAAAACTCCATACAAATTTATCTTATCATATTTCATGTGAATAGTGCTTGCCTTTACTTGTCATGGCAATGGTGGAAAAGCAAAATAAAAAGGATAGTGCAGTCAGTATTCACATAAATAGGACGCTCTTACTTGCCCTTACCTTTTGCCATGGCACCGTGGGTGAAAGTGCTCTTACTCGTCCCTCATTTAGCTCATCTTCATTTGTATAAATTACTAGAAGTACTCATACAATTGAGAAACGCTACTATCAACGGTTCACATGAAAAATGCTACTATCAACTATTCATGTACACGTAGGTGACTGATAACTTAACACAAAAACTCTAGTGAAATCTATCAAAACCCTTTCAGTTAGGACCAAATACTACAAGAAGTCCTCTTTCATCTTAAATAAGAAGGGAAAAAAAAAAGTAAAATAGCTAACTCTTATCCTAGGCATTTGTGGAACATATGGGCTATGCTAAGAACATGTGTATAGTTTTTGCTGGTATGCTTTCTAAAGTCTCATTACAGAGGTCTTTGTATGATCAAATATTACTTTTAACTTCCAACAATAGAACATCTTCGCCCCAATAATTTAGAGATGCCCTAATCCAAATCAAGCGAAAATTGACCTCCTCAATTTGGAATATTGCCTGGCCTAGTGGTTTGCTTGCTTTGGCCTTTCGTTCTACATTGCCTTGCACTACAGGTTTTCTGTTTGTCTTGTATCTTTTTACTCTCTGTTTTTCCTGCTGTCATGTTTCGCTGGATGTTGCTGGCTGTGCTTTGTGCTCTTCCAAATAATTGGCTGCTCTCTGGTTTGTGGTTGGGGTTTTATTTTTCTGCTTGTTTGTTTCTTCCATCATGGCCTTTTTGCCATGGGGACTGGGAAGAGAGGCCTGCTCCCCTCGGTTTGTGTTTGCTTTGTTACTTCCGCTGGGAACTGTCCCCTTGCTTGTGTCTCCTTTCCGGTTAGATATATTCATTCATATACCACAAAAACGAAAAACAAAAAAACCACAGATTTACATGAAACATGTACATTTTCCTTCTATCATGTTGATTTAGAGGCTACCTACTGCCAAATTTTCAGCCATTATTATACGTCGCTTGTGCATACGTTTTAAGCACTTTCTTCCTAACTAAAGCATCTGAAATCACTTGGCCCTTTCTTCCTAACTAAAGCATCTGAAATCACTTGGCCGGAAAAAAGATCAAGAACCGACATAGAGGTACGATCCTACATAACACATCCTGCTCAAGTAAGATTGTGCTCTCTCTCACCCTTGTCATCAGTCTACTAAACCTAAAATTCAAGTTTAGACCGTAGAAAAGCTAAAATTAACTTAATTCTCAAAAGGACTATTTTACACTACGTGCAGTTCAAATGCAAGTATAAGAGGATCTGAATGACCAATTACATAAGAGACTAAGAGACAATAACACAACTCCATCCCATGATTGTTTCTATAATTCTTTATCTATTTCGACATTTAATCTTAGATGACCATGACCATAAATATTACAGTAACAAAATAAAAAAAATGTGATTTCAATGACATCAAAATATTTCTATAACCAATATATAAGTTGTATGGCGTTGATCAAAGTCTTACAAAGACAGCTGCTATAAATAATTGAAAAGAAAAATGTATTCCTGTGCATTTTTATTCAACCAATCAGGCAGAAGAATCATTGTGTGATTCCCTAACACCAGTCTGCCTTCTTCTTACCTTAGAATCATCAAGGTAGTTCTGATAAATATAAGTGGCAAAACCCCAAATAGCCAGAAGCATAGCAATTATCTTGACACCGTCCATCTTGTCATGGAAAATTATCACAGCAGCTATAGGAGTAACAGCCAAGGAAAGAGTACTAATTACGTTGGAGAAGAGAGAAGAAACAACGAAAATTAATCCCACAACACCAACAGAACAAACTTGCCAAGCCACAGCTGTCCAAACTAAGGTCATCACATAAGAAACTCGTCCCTCGCCAAACTTTTCCATTTCCCCATGCAAAGTCCTCCATTCCCCACTGGCAAAAAGACCCACAGTTGCAGCACAACTGGCAACCAGTGCTGTATAAATTTGCATTTCCAAGACCACAGAAAAGGTTTCCTTCTTAAGAACTTTTTGGAAGGTAAGCTGCATGAGGGAAAGCAAAAGAGAGTAAATTGCAGAAGCTCCAAGGGTACAGATGAATCCAAGGATATGTTTCCACTTTGAGACTCCTGCTGGTCCACTGGAATCATCACTGACAGCAATAAGAGCTGCTGAGAATGACACGATAATCACTGAATTAAGAATCAATGCAGTGAACTTCTGGGAGTTGATGAAGTACGAGAAAACTGCATTGAAAGCCAATTGAGTTGCACAAATGAGGGAGTAAGTAGAGGCAGATAGGTACAAGAGTCCGACAGAATACAACATGTTGTCACAAGCCAAGAGCACTCCAAGGGCAAAGTAAATCAAGGCAAGTACTTTAATGGAAGGTGGGGCTGAAGAAGTTGATGGATCTTTGGATGAAGGAATAAAATAAAGTGGGATGAGAAGAACTGGGAATGCTGCAGTTTGGACAAGAGTGGCCATCCACTTACTATTACCACCCTGGTCATAATAGAATCTCCCAAGTAAAACCGCAGCAGCCTGCCCCACAATGAGGAAGAAGATGTTGAGTGCCACCATAAACCACCATTGACAGCGGCCAAGTTTGACAAATTGTGTTTGCTCTATGACAGTTTCATCTTTGGCTAAAATCGATTCTTGGCTATCTGTATTTTTACATGTAAACAAATTAGCTTCTTTATGGGTTTATCAAATTATCATAAACCAAAAATTAAAGCATTTGAACCTGGAGAATCATGAAACATGTAAACCGAAAACACAACATCTATAAAGAGAGTTTTTCTCTACTGGTAAATGTCATAGCCAAATTTCAGATAGACATTATTGGTCGAGAGGCAAGACCTCATTTCCTTATACTTACAGTCAGCATAGACCTTTAATGATCTTTGAAAGAATATTACTTACACATTACTGCGTATTTAAAGGTCTCCTGTATCTCTTTTTTTGTAATTGCAAAAGCATATGCACGCTTCTATCAGGTTAGCCAAAACAAATCACAAGCAGGAAACCTTGGGAATGTCCTCTTCTAATAAAGGTGATTCGAGGATTCAAAACAGAACAAAAAGGCCTTCTTTTTTATATTACTTTTTTGCTCTTACAATACACAGAAGAAAAATGAAATTTTCATGCCCAGGAGGAGCATTTGATGCATTGATATGATCAACTCTAATCAATAAACATGCACGCAGTTAAGCATATCATTTATAATCACTACCACATTTATGTTGCAACAATATGCCTGTGGAAATAACCATAAGGTCAAGAGTATATCCCAAAAAATAAAAAAGACAAGGGGGGGTAAAAGCTTAGTTGAAAGCGAAGAATTGGGCCGTTTGTGCCATAAATTCATGCCCAACAAGCTAAAAGCACGATGGACTCAAATCCTCACCTAACCAGCTAAAGCATATATAATAGTCATCAGAAGCACACAAAATAAATAAATGAACTAATTTGACGAAAAAATAAGTCAAAAATCGAAATCCAATTGAACTTTTCAAACCCGCAAGTAACCAACCACTGAAAGCAACCAAATACTACGAAGAATAAGCATGTGTGAAGATTCAAAGTGAGTCAGTGACAGATTTTAACCGGAAAAAAAAATCTGAGTGCCCAGAATTCAAGATTGCATATTCTGTTCTTCTCATAAGTTTCTCAGCAACCAAACAGAACCTCATATTTTGATTAGTCTGACGAAAACCCAATAACATATCGATCAAAATAAACAAAACCCATGTCTAATTTCACCTTTAATCCTTAGAATTCAACACACAAAATAAAAAACCAAAAGAAAAACAGAGAGAAAGAGAGAAAGAGACCTGGCATGGCCATGCTTCTTAAGGTTTGCGTGACTGAATGAAAGACTTTCAAGTCTAGAACCCACCAAGCGCTGGCCGGTATTGTTAAGAATGGAACAAAGAGGTTTTTTAGTGGGTATTTACTGTTGCGGCTGCGTACTTTCACGATTCCAATTTTCAATCATGTAATTATGAATTTATTTATTTTTGTGTTCTTCGAGTGGTTTAAGGGTTCAAAAATAAAAATAAAAAGAGCCCAAGGTTAGAGGTCAGAATCGTAAGATGGTTAACATGAATCAGATAACCGGGGTACATACCTCTCCACCATTCAGATTCTGCCTTGTGTAAAGACATCAGAAATCTGCGGCCAAAAAGAAATAACACGAGAAATTTGAATTGCCCTACCCAAAATGTGTCTGAGGAGTGAGAAAGTACAGATTTATGTTATGCTACGATGTTTGCTCCCAAAATAAGTACAAGACTGGAATCTATGAAAATAAAAGGGTATTCTCGGTATTTGGCGGGGGCCACAGCACAAACAAATGTGATATCTGGCTCGTGTTTTGGTGGGATATCTGATTTGGGGTTGGCCCAACCAAATGTGAGTGTATTTAGGTTTTTTTTTTTTGGGTGGGAAAATCTTCGAAATTTGGAGTTCACGAGATGAAAATGTTTTGTAATTAAAAAAAAGTACATGAAGTATCTCTTATGTGATTATAATACAAAGAAAGTAGAAAAGATTTTAGTAATGTGACACGTGGATGATGTGCTACGAGTTTACTCAAATTATAATAAGTGTACAATTATAAAAGTTAAGGGTCTATTTAATTCACGGAATGAATTGTTTAGGAATGTATTTCCCAACCTATTCAAAAGCTTGGAAATACTGGAAAATGATAACTAGGAAAGACCTTCTATTTTCTTTCACACATTTGGTTTGTATAGTAATATAGGAATTGAACTTTGTTCCCTTTTCTAATAACACCCTAATTAACTAAAGAAAATCCAATAATTTTTATGATTTCCATGTTTAAGGTATTTAATTTTCAAGAATGTACTCACCAAACATGAGAATGACAACTCATACCCATTCCCAAACTTCTAAACCTTGAACCAAATGTAAAAGGGAAAATCTTAAACTCAATACACATGTTATGCAAATAAGAGTACTGTAGTGATACAATGATAAGGACCAAGTTTTGCACAAATTATAGTGTGTTTACAGTGATGTCCACTCAAATCATAACACACGTTCCTGCCCAACATGATCCTAATTTCTATGGATAATTCTTCCACATACGAAGGTTAAGATTTTGATTAACATTGGCGAGACTAATCTTGAGATTTTCTATGACACCAATTTCTAAGGAAAGAATAAAGAAAAGAAAACCGTCTACTTAACTTACTTATATCGAGGATACCATTGTGACACTTTCTTGAGTCAATTACCCATTGACATGTATTTTAACTTTCTGACATGACAATGCAATTTTTTCACATGACAATGAGTGATAGGCTTGGATACCACCATGGTAACATCCCCGTGTAAGTTCTTCCCACTCAAAAGAAGTCGAACTTGAGATATCTTTCAACATTAAGAAGATTAGTACCGCTAAACTAAGAGCTAGTTGGTTAAAATTAAAACTCAAAACAGAATCCTTCTTAATTATTTTCTTTTCCTCCTTGAACTTTTTTCCAAGTTCGCAGGTATGGATAAAATATTAGAAACAAAACCAAATTTAACACTTATCTTATAGGGTGGAGAAAATATAAGAATATTTCAAAACATAAAATCATAGAAATCTATTAAAATCACTTTGCAAAACAAGACGTCTCTTTTAATTACTTTTAATTTTGTCTGAGTGTTTGTGATATTCTAAGCTTAGCCAAACAGTATAAAAATCCTTTACCAATCAACCAAACACAAAACTCCGAATGCTACAGTAACTAAGCTTTACAGACAGTAGGATCACCGAAGCATACAAGGAATGGGGTAAAGAAGTTGAATAAAAAAACCCACGTAAATTAACAAGCACATCCGCCCGACTGTGCCTGTGACTGTGATGAATTTGCATTGGATGACTTGAGGTTCACATCAACCATATCCTCTTGCTTCGTCGAAGAAAGTGTTTCCATGCCAGGCAAGGCAGCTGCTATCTTTCGGAACAGTGCCTGCAATCGGATTAATGAAAATTAACATAATGACGTGTCCATCTGCAACCGAGTAAGCATATCAAGTGACCTTGACGAGGGTGCAGTGTTCTCAACAGTAGTATCTTGATCGACCCCAAGCAACATATTCATACCATTAAGACATTACATTGCTATGATATAACTCATTAAAGATAAATGTGACTCACCTTGATATTGAAGCCAGCCTTGGCACTAGTTTCGATGAACATAACATTGAGCTCACGAGCTTTGGCTTCTCCTTCCTCTATGGAAACTTGCCTGTCCATCCACAACATGGCCTATATATGAGCACCAGAAGTGGCAAGAAAAATCAGATGCAATAAGCTAGCCTAATTGACAGTGAGATACGACCTGAGGGGAAAACTTGTAGTATTACCCTCCTCGTTCCCATCTACAGTCCCAAACATGTATTCAGCATACATGTTTTACGAAGGTACATCCGCACAGCTTGGTTTAAAGCATCTTCTTCTAGTGCTCAGATTGGTCAAGCACGCAAATGAAATAAATAGCATGCAAAAGATGCAACAAGTCATCATTCTCATGAAGACCACGTTTACATGACTAAGGAACTAAAAAGTGTAGGAAACAAGAAAATCAACTGTCTTCACAACTTACTGCAGAGAAGAAAGCAGATCACTACCTTTTGTCTACAAGATCTGTTTTGTTTCCAACAAGTACAATGATAACATCACTTCCCCGCTCAGTGCGAACCTCTTCAATCCACTTGGAAGTGTTTAGGAATGACTGCCTGCCTATACCATAAGAATGAGCCAAAATTGAAATTCATCAAACATTGAACATAAGACCCAGTGATTTAATTAGAAAGAGAAGAAGTTCAAGCTCAACACAGTTACTTTTGACTAGATTTTTTTTTTTTTCAAAACAAAACAAATCCCTCACAGATGGGACTCTTAACAAGAGCTTCCTCAAAAGGATATTCACAAAGTATTTGAACAGCTGGACTAAATTTCAGGTCCAACAATTTAGAGAGAGAGAGAGAGAGATCATACTTGCAACATCATATACAATGACTGCCACAGAGGAATCCCTGATATAGCTTGGAATGAGACTCCTGAACCTTTCCTGCCCAGCAGTATCCCTGTTCAAATTTCAAAACTTTATGTTTCACGAGATACAAATTTTTTTTTACAATGCCAATCTTGTCCCAGGATGAGATAAGTATGAAAGCCCAATAATCACAGAGAGAAAATATGGAAACAAATCCAAAGCTTTAGAATGAATGTTCAAGAAAGACAAGTAAATGTGCCCCAAGTACTTAGAATCATAATGAGAGTACTAGTGACTTCTAAGAGGCAATCTCTTTAATAAAAGCAACCTAGTAACCACTCATTAAGTCCACAATAAATTAAAGTCACATCACAGAATGAGAACACTGAGCAAGCTCATGTATATAAGAAATCTAACTGTATATTTTGAAAAGGGGGTTCTAATCCATCAATTGAACATAAAACCTACGAGAAAACATGGTAACATCTACAGAAAAATAAACTAAAAAAGGATAAAGACTGACCAGAGCTGCAATCGAACAGTTCGATCTTCAAGGTACATTGTCTTTGACAGAAAATCAATGCCGATGGTAGCCTGGTCATCAATGAATAAACATATAAGCTAAGAAAGAGAAACTCGAACAAATAATTCAAAACATGTAAGTTAAGAATTGAGCATAGATATATGTACAGTGCCAGATAAGTACATAAATATGTGTGTGTAACATTACATTAAAAAAAAAAAAAAAAAAAAAGACAAGTGTCTGCACATTAAAAGAGATGGATGACAACTAAATAAGTATTTTAAATAAGGAGCTGTTTTTCAGCCGTTATCAAATTTTGATGAAGAATGCATGTCATCCACTGTACAATTAGTCGTTCATATATAACATAATGGCTGAAAAACATGGTCTCATGTAAGAACTTTATTAAAGAATAACTATATACATGTATAATTATGTCAAAAGAACAAAGACATCCACAGGAATCCCAACAAAACTAAGAAAAAAGAACAAAAGGTAATTAGGATTGATATCTGTAGAGTGTCAGCAAGGAAAGACAAATGAATGACATTTGAAAAATCAAAATAACTGCGTTACAGAAAATGCATCCACAGGAACACCCACCAAAATAAGAAAAGGAAAAGGTGAAAACAAACAAACTTGTGCAACTAAGACAAAAAAGATAGATATTAAACCTAATTATTCCATTGGGAATAAACATTTAGAAACCAAAAAGTGTTGCCTCTATGGAATGATAGGTGAAAATCCACTGGTAGTACTCATAGCTCAATGGCAGAGCATTTGGCCAAAAACAAAAGGTCAGTGTTACAAATCCCAGAATGACATACCTGTTTAGTATTAGATTGTACTAACTTATATATCATGTTTATAACTAATGCCTTTTTCTTGTGGCCGAGGACCCAAATCATACACATATCCCAATCATCCATGCATATCCATAACATAGGTCCATTTTAGGTTGGCTCTGCATATATTCACTCATAAGCTTTTTATATAACGATATGTTTCTCAGCCGTTATATCAGATATGAACAGCTGGCCACCATTAATGGTTGAGAAATAGGTACTTATTTAAGGATCCTATTGCTGAAACCGAGGGTGACACCCTCCAATTCCCGTCGAACCCCACTTCAAGTTTTAATTTTGAATCTCAGCCCCACCCCATACCAATCCATGAACGATTACTGTTGCATCATTTGAAGAAAGTCATAAGCAACTGGTTTAATTCTTTTTCCCTACTCCAACGTAAAAGAAAAGAAAAATCATAAACTTCTAATATTACGAAAAGTTATTAAGGGGGCCAACCCTTACCATGGTTATGAACCTCACTTCATTAGAACATTTTCAGCTCCCACTCAATGTCTGTCCTAAATTTATTTTTTCACATGCAGTACTCCAAGCAATACATCTTTCTTTGTTTTTTTTTTCTACACAACTCTCCTTTGTTATTAAAACTTTACGTACTACTTCAACATAAAAAGGAGAATGCTGTAATGTACTTGGCACTTGGCAGGCACATTCGAACGGCCGTCACATAAGGCCCCACATCAGCTTCCACAAGAAAGTAGAAATACTAGAATTAAGACTGCTCAACTATAGTACAGAAATCAGTGTTTGGATTCTAATATAGCAGTACCAGCTCGTGGTTCCACACAAAGATTTGGATCAGCATTTATTCACAAATTTCACAAATATGTACCACAACCATAAAAGTCTAACAAATGTAACGAAATTTCAATAACCCGAAGAATTCAAAATTTGATACCAAACATAGCTCATAGCTGTTAGATTGAAAACAAAAATCGCAAACGAAAGAAATTTCAATTCTATCATGAATTGGAAAACTCTATGCCAATCAATCGAAGACATTGTTGATGTTCACAGCAACTGTTGACAGAAATGAAACAGCAAAAGACTGCAAAGCTCGAAAAGTTGAAGATCAAAGAAATTGCAAAAGAATTGGATAGGGAAATCCGATTACCTGATACGTGTTGTCGAACTTGTCGTACATGAAGCGAGTGATGATGCTGGTTTTGCCGACGGACTGGTCCCCCAAGAAGACGAGCTTGTACTTGGCGAGTGCCGAAACGGGAGCCATGGAGATTTCGGATCTACGTGGATCGGATCGGGTTCAAGGTCGAGATCTCGCCAGAGATTTATCGGACAGATCGAGATCTCGGAGCCTCGTTCTAAATTCGCTTCGTTTGTTTTATTTTTCCTCGATTTCGTTTGGGTGCGTATTTATACGACGATGATATGTTGGCATATAGAGAAAGGGAGAAACGGAGACAGAGAGAAACTGTTTTTTGCGCGTGAAATTGGTTTGAAGAGGTTTTCCCGAAAATAAATTATTAATGTCAAAAATATTCTTACACGGTTATTAGCTTTCTAGTAAAATGCATGGCTAAGTGGAAAGGGCCTTCATAATTTGGGTAAGAAACTTCCTCCCTAGTTTAGACGCTTGTATTTAGAAGAAAAATAAACATGCTATTTTGGAGGCCAAAATGCAACACATAAAGCTTATTTAAATACATTTTCTTTTGTCAACAAGATCTAGCCTTGTGAAAAAGAGTCTTGACTTGCAACCAAAGGATCTCAGGTTTGAACCCATATGGCACCAAGGTAGCGTGTATGTGTGTGAGAATCCTCTCATCCAACAAAAACAAAATTGATTTATTGGTTCACCAACTGTCTCAAGTGTAGGTCTCCTTGCTATGCCATCGGTCTCCATGCATACCGATCTCATCGGTTAGGCATACTTGTAGGCTCCACCTTATAACTTGTGAAAAAATATATATTTTCTGTTAAAATTCAGAGAGATGGACAACGGCCCACTATTAGCAACACTGATATCGTCCACAATTTAACCACCTACATAGCCTAGTAGGTGTATAATTTTATCACAAAAGGCCTCAGTGATATTAGTAGTATAATCACTCATTATATATTATATTTATTTTGTCAAATTTCCGATGTGGGACTTTATATTATTCAACATTTTCATCTTAACTCTAGTGTGAATAATCTAACACTTAGAGCACCTCCACCCCAAAAGGAAAGGGCAAGGCAAATGCAAGGCAAGGTTTGACACTATTCATGTGAATAGTGGCAGCCTTGTCTTTTTTGGTTCCACCACAAAGGGAAAGGGCAAGGGCAAATACTATTCACTTTACTTTATTTTATATATTTTTTATACTTAAACCATTAATTTTGATAAGCTTTTCAGATAATATTTTTGGTTACCACATGTCACTATTTATTATAAAGTTACATTAAATTGGAAATGCAAGAAAAAAAAATGATTATGCAATAAAATATAAACAAATTGGAAATGCAAAGAAAAAAAAATTGAATATGCAAGAATAAAAAACAGTTACATTAAATTGAATAGGCCATTTGTTTTTTGATAAATGGAAAGTAGTAGAAAAATGAGAATGGAAATTAAAAAATATTGGAAAGAGAAGAGTTTGCATGAAGATTTAGTGTTGAAAGTGAATAAAATTGTTAGGTATTTATAGGGAAGAAATCCATAATTTTTTGATATTTTAAAAAAAAAAAAATCAATTTTTTTGCTATTTTTTCAGCCAAAAAAATCAAGGGCGTCAGATTTCTGCAAACAATTCAATCAAAGTGCCCAAGAAGCGCCACGGGGCATCTTCCTATTGGGGGCTGTAAAAGAATTTGATTTTCAGCAGCTGACATCAGCGTGACGTCACGGCTGACGTCATCGACTGAGGGCAAGAGCCCAGTCCAGAATTGCCTTTGGGCTTGCCTAGGCTGGTGAGTCCCAAGGCTTGCCCAGGCTTCCTTTTGCACGCTGGAGGTCCAACTCTGGCCTGGGGGGGGCCTGTTGCCCGGGTTAGTATGCTGCGCTGCACTTGCTCTTAGCCATTTTTTAAAGATCTTATCTATAATTGGAGCTAATAATTACACATAACTATTCTAAAGAACCTAGCAAGCTAACTTAATACGAGCTTTTAGCCAATGAGGTCTAGCATAGTGAAAAAAGGTATTGATTTGTAAACTACTGGTCTCATGTTCGAATCCCCATGACACCTTAATAGTGTATGTGTGTGTGTGTGTGATGAACCTCATCCCCTTGTAGTTTAGGAGAGGAACTTACCTATACCAGAGATACCACCAGAAGTGGAGGTACTCTAGGGTCTGAGGTGGCCCTGCCCTCCCCCCACCCCCATATTATTTGTTCTCAACACGGTAAATGTTGGGCTTTAGTTCATATATTTAATAATGCAAACCATATAACCATTCTAATGGCCCCCCATTGCAATCCATAATAACTTCATTTATAATTAAGGAAAGTATTAATCCTCTAATAACCAAACCAATGAGTCAAGGAAATAGAAAATATATAGTTTAAAGGGAAATGAGATTTTACCAAAAACTTTTCTGTTTTGATACATGAAATTGAGTACAAAGTTCTAAAAAATGTCCGTTTTTCCTTATATATTATTGATTGTATGATTGATTTTCTCTTTTTATACTTGTATTACGGTCCCACACATACCATTCTGGCTCCGGCATTGAATACCATTGTGGCGTTATTCCAAACCAATCACTTATTGACATGTATTTTAACTTTCGACATGATAATGCGTGATAAGCTAAGGATATCACCATGATGACATCCTCATTACATGTGAGTTCTTCTTGTAGTTTAAATTATCACTTGTATTTTAAATAAATAAATAAAGAGCTTTTACTTTATATCACCATGCAAGTTGAAGTACAAAGTTGGCACAAATCAGTTCATTAGTTCACCTTTAAAAATTTCTAATGATTGCCGGTTGCCCCAGGATCTATGCGACGTACTTGGAAGTATGTGTTGAACAATTAATCTCAAGTTATATACTTTAAAAAGAAATTAAAATCCAGTTTCTTTTTTTCTATATTAAGAACCAAATTGATTAGCCCGACGACAAGGGGTAAGATGTTTTTGGTGCAGCTTTTACATGGTAAGTTGGTGAGGGCCAAAGATAAATATTTCCTATTATAAACCAATTTATTCATACCCTGGTTTCTCATCCTTGACTACGACTAGCGTTTCTTTCCTCTTTTCTATTTGTTATTTGGGTGCCGTATTCAATTCTAAATTATTTTGAACTCTTTCTTTGAGAGGAAGTTTAATTCTTTCATACAAACAAACATTCCTTTTTTGTCAGGACAATTGCTCCATTTGGAAAAAACCAGCAAACAAAAAGGTTACCAAAAGCTTCATAACCCTACCTTCCATATATGCACTCCATGGCTCATTATAAAACCCAGGCCATAACCCTAATTATTTTCACTACCCCAAAAGAAAAGAAAAGAAAAGAAAAAACCTTATCTCATGGCTGTCTCTATGAAGAAAACCTTCTACTACAATTTTTTTCCCACCAAGGCCGAGGAACAGGAGGAAGACAAAAAATGCGGTAGCAGCAGTGGAGAGAAACAAATCAGCCGAGTTCTGATAGAAATGCATGACTTTCCGGACAATCAGCCGCCACTGCTACTAAAGCGTACCGATCCACGGGGCATCATAAAGGCGGTTTCTGTAAGCGAAATCCAGATGGGGATTCTTTTCTTTTCATTCAGTGAGACGTTTGAGCACATCTTTCGACATTGGACGCTGGACGAAGTCAATTTGGTCATAAGTGGCTACAACAAGTTCCATGTTTTGGTGAAAGATGTTACTGATCACGAAGAAACTGAGTACAGAAGTGACAGAATATTTTTCCAGAGGTTGCAAAACGATGAGTTCTATATTCTTGGGTGTTTGGATGTGATAAGAAATAGGTATCTCAGTGCTGGTGACGAAATTGGCTTGGCTTGGGAAAGGGATAGAAACGGAACGGGAATGTTTCTGTTCAAATTGTTGAGCAGAAGCAAGAGGGCGCCCGCAAACATCATGTTTTAGATTATTAAGAGTGTGAGTTTTATTTTTAACTCCTAATAAAGCATGGTGGATTTGGATTTTTATATGTGGTTTTCATGATTGTTTTGAGTTCGATGGATATGGAACTTTAGTAAGTGATGTTTCTGTTCTATGCGAATGTCTTGTTTTATATTTCAATGATGACTGATTTCTGTTTTCTCGTGTGTTTTTTTGCTAGCTAGCAAATATTAATTCTAAAAACCTGAATTCTATGTATAATCTATAATTTTGAATATAAGGAGCAAATCTTTGACACTCAAATCTAGGGGTGGTTGCGGTTCGGTAACCGCGAATTTTTACCCAAATCGCAAACCGACCAACTATTTGCTGTATGGTAATTTTTGAAACCGTAAACCGACCGCTTTCTGCGTTTTACCCCATTGCAGTAAACCGCAAAAAGCGGTCGGTTACCGTGAATTAGCAGTTTAAAACTGCAAGTTCTTTTTGTGTCATAAAAATCAAATCTTCCACATTTTAGGCCTAATTTTGATGCTTCTTTTGAAGCCTTTTGATTTCAAGCATACTTTAACCCAAAAATATAAATTTACAACCTCAACTTCTCAAGCATATATAAATTCACAACCTCCTCAACTTCTCAAGCATTCATAACCTAAAGAAAATTAAAGTTACAATTCCAAACATTCCAATTAAAGTTAAACTTCTCAAGCATTCCAATTC